GGTGAGCGTGTGTGTGTGTGTGTGTTGTGTGTGTGTGTGTGTGTGGTGTGTGTGTGTGTGTGTGTGTGTGTGTGTGTGTGTCACGTGTGTGTGTGTGTGTGTGTGTCACGTGTGTGGTGTGTGTGTGTGTGTGTGATGTGTTTAGCTGTGTGTCGATGTGTTGTGGTATGTGTGCGTGTGTTTTGCGTGTGCCATGTGCGTGTGCATGTGGTGTGTGTGTGTGTGTGTGTGGTTGTTGTGTGTGTGTGTGTGTGTGTGTGTGTGTGTGCAGTGTCCCTAGATTTGGAGCCAAAATTAAAAAATATGGCTTAAGCTAATAAGTCGTAAATAAGGCCGCTAACGTGATTCGTTTGGGCCGCGTTATCCGGTGGAAAGCCTTGGTCAAGACCCACCCCTATCCACACTATGGAGTCGATCAAGAACTGCGCCGTCCATGATCATTCCACGCAAGACGTATGAAATTTTGGGCCCCCCCCCACTAGGAATTTGGCTCAGCCGTACGCCTTGTAGTTAATACACACCACACACACACACTCACGCACGCACACACACACGCACGTAGCTTGCCCACTGACCTGTATAGTGTATATAATAACATTGTTATATTGTCTTATACATTGTATTCTGTTATATTGTGATTGTATAAACAGCTCAGTTATAATATATCTATGATTATTATATATGATATGATATTATATTATATTATATATGATATGATATTATATGATATAATATATCTATAATATTATAATCATATATAAATATAACATAATAATATATTATAGAGATCAGTGGCATGCCGTTGTAGCAAGCTTTGCAATGTACTGCTCTTCTCGCTAGGCGGCGCCACCATGCGTTACAAGCGTAGTGTCAAGCAAAGTGTCAAGTACAGTACAGTGTAATCGTTAGTCTGTGGTTCGAGTGTCTTTCCTTCTTGTTATATCATGGTTTACGTCGATGATACAGGTCTATTCTATATCTTTGTTGATAGACAAGTAGGTTTCAATGCTTAGGGGCTACTATATCGAACCTGTATCTGTTGCACACGAGGAAATCATGCTAATAATTATTAATATTATCAGGAGATTATGACATCTGCACTGTACAGTGTTGCTGTAAGAAGCGCAACTAATCGTGGGAAGTTTGCATTCAACGCACAACGCTGTCTTCACTTCACCAACGCACAAGTGAACACAATAACAATGGAGAGTAAAACAGCAAACCTTATAAAGCCTACAGTATTCGTCACTGGTACTGTACCAAGAATTGGTGTTGAACTTCTTGAAGCAGGGTAATAATAACTATAATCTTTCTAATCATTAGGATTGCTGATCACTAATTTAAATGACAAATTTGCCGTGGCTTGAGTAACTCGGCAAGGTCTAATTACTCTTATACTTATAGTTATAGCTATCGCGGCCCTAGAAACGACAATGTAACCCAACAAGAGTACTTGTTGTGTTACATTATTGTATCCAGGGCCCTAGCTAGGATTTTTTTTCCTGTAGCCAAACAATTAGCCAGAATCAATTTTCATTAGCCAACTTGGATTCGTGTTAGCCACAACCAAAGATCGTAGAGTGAACGGCACGAGAGCCTACGGCACTCTAGAATCTTTGGCCACAACTGTAGCCTAAGATTTTATGAACACAAAAAGGCGATAAATAATTTTTCTTTTCTTTATTTTTTTCACACACTTTTATATGCATGAAGTACTAAACTACACTTATTTAATGCAAACAAACTATTATTCACCACCTGTCTATGACTGAGACACTAAAGGCCCGCTTATGTCGGCCTTACGACCTAGTCGCCGACAAGATTTGAATATCGTACGTCAAAAACCGGCCAGATCGCCGATAAAAACATCGGCGACCAAACTCGACATGAGTTCTCTTCATGGTTTCATACCAGCACGGTTGAGTAACAATTAACTTGGTTATTTATATTATTCTACCAACCGAATGAACTTATTCAATGAGCGATCGCAGTCGGCGACCGTATTTTCGATCGCAAGAGAACTCATCAGGAATAGAACATGTTCTATTTCTATGGCGGCTGTCGGCGACAAATCGTGAGTGGCAGCCAATCACCGCAACGTGTCGAGTCACATGATTATCAAAAGTCACGTCATTAATAAAATGGCAGCCTACACGCCACTCGCCAGCAGTTTACAAAGAGGGATTATTGCACAAACCCTTTC